GTATTTATTCACACACTCACAAAGACATCCGATCAGAGAGACGTCCGTCTCTGCTGTGCTGGGACACTGTAGGGGTTAGCTGATAACAAAGCCAGTTAAACGTGGCCATCATCTGCACATCTGTGTAGTCCACATTGTTCTGCTGTAAAATATTGCAGCAGGTCAAAGTTAAGCAGGAAAGGAGAACAGTGCATATCATACCGGTCCTCTCATTACTATATGAAACAAAGTGGGCACTACATAAAGCTAACCTGTTTTCAGCCTGTCTAAATGTATGTTAAGCTTTCTTTTACTGTAAATGTGTGTGAGTCATTTTTGGCTGAAAAAGGTTAGAAAACCATTTTCAAACAAAAACAAGTTCGAACCATTAAAAGAGCAGGATCGTTGCTAATGTTAGCGACACAATATTAGCAGTGAACATCTGTCCAGATGTGTTTTAAAAGTAACAATTTAATGTGTTCAAATATCTTCAGTGGAGAAGACCTCTGCAGCTTTTTAAAAGACGGAGATGCACAAAATGCTTCATTAAAAGTTCATCTGGAGCCACATGAGATTTGATAAAGATGATCAGGACACGCAGCAGCGTACTGCTTTACCACCTATGCTTGTCAGTGTTGACAGGTCAGCTGGGATTCCCTAACCCCAGCACATCAACTAATTCCAGTAGAAAGGAATTCATTGTGCTGCTCATCACACCATTTTAACATTTCCCCCTAAAACGACCTGAAACAACATAAACCCAGCTGCTGGTTTGCAGGACGCACACGTGTGATCTGTGTTGAAGTATTAATAATAATAATGGATTGGATTTATATAGCGCTTTTCAAGGCACCCAAAAAGCTTTACAATGCCACTATTCATTCACTCTCACATTCATACACTGGTGGAGGCAAACCACAGGTGTAGCCACAGCAGACTGGGGCAGACTGACAGAAGCGAGGCTGCCATATCGCGCCATCGGCCCTTCTGGCCAACACCAGTAGGCGGTAGGGTAAAGTGTCTTGCCCAAGGACACAACGACCAGGACAGAGAGGCCGGGGATCAAACTGGCGACCTTCCAGTTACAGATGCGCTTCCCAACCCCCTGAGCCACAGTCGCCCCATATATTCAGGTCTGAGCACAGAGCAAACATGTTAGCATGCTGTCTGTGCAGCTGATGCTGTTAGCAGCAGAATGCAGCTGCTTGTGTCCAGTTTACTTTACCATCACACTCTCGTCCTTGTGCAGTAATAATAAAAGTAACATCCATGCTCACACTGCAGACTGAGCCATTATTGTCCTCCTCCTGCACACCAACTGAAATCAGCTGATTGGTTATTGGTTCTCCAAACTTTGCTCAACCTTTGTTCATTTTATTTCAGAAGAGAGCGGTGTGAACTCTCAGTGGTGACTCGGGGTTATCTGCATTTGGCAGACTTTGTTTCCTTACACTCTTGTCACCCCTCCTGGACACGTTGCTGTTCTGTCATCACGTGACGTCTTGGAGCATTGCTTGGAAACTGAAACGACACTGAGGATTGTTAGGCAGCTCAGAGTGCTTCAGTGCAATTCATGAAGTGGGAAAAGGCAGGCAGAAATGACCAAAACTACTTATTAGTCACTTTGAAGAAAGTATTCAGTGTTAATGGAGGGCTGTAGGTAGTATTTCTGGAAGGAACTAGCAGATATTTTCTTAAATCCTTGAAAAGCTCCTCATGAAAGTTTTTCCTCTTTTTACTTTGAGAAAAGCAGGAAGAGTTGGTGAAGAAGCCACACGTGTGGGAACGACACTGATTTAATCAGTAACCAGGCAGCCAATCACGCCACGCGTTGTACAGTGGGGCAAAAAGTATTTAGTCAGCCACCGATTGTGCAAATACTTATTTTCCACCCTGATTTACCAATAAATTCTTTACAAATCCTACCATGTGGATTCATGGATTTCTTCTTCACATTCTGTCTCTCACAGATGAAGTGTACCTCTGGTGCAAATTACTGACCTCTGTCATCATTTTAAGTGGGGGAACTTGCACAATCGGTGGCTGACTAAATATTTTTTTCCCCCACTGTTATCCACATCTGAAAATCACTTCATGGTTGGGTATCGATCACCGTTTCCACACCCGTCAGTGCTGCACGGCTCGGGACAAGCTTCAGCTCCAGATTTCTAACAGATTTACTGCTTTTGTAAGATTTGCAACACTTCACATGTTTTGTTGTTGAGCTTTTGTGCGTTTGTGGTGTGAAATAAAGACATACAGCCAGTGAAGGACAGCACTCAGTTTTGGGGGCAGACACAATAAATCAGTGAAAGGAAATGGAGAGAATAAGCAAACACCACATTCGGGTTCAGAAATATTTATTCCTCTTGTCAAATAAATAAAGTTCGCAGGTACAGCCTTTTTGACCCTTTTGTGTCGGACTTCTGAACTGGTTTGGTTTTTTAAGGCTGGTGAGTGGACTGTACAAGACTGCTGCTGGGCAAGCGAGGCTCAGAGAAAGGCAAGCACTCTCTCTCTCTCACACAGTCTCCCTGCACGCCTCTGATGGAGGCTGAGCCACAAACTGGAACTAATGTCGGGTAACTGGCCTGAAGTGGGCTAACTCACTGCCACAGTGGGAGGTGTGTGCTCTGAAGCATGTCTGACCAGTACACAGCACACACCTCATCTGCTGTCTTATTGGCTTCTAGCCGACAGAGTAACCAATGATAATACATCAATAACTGATGGGTCACATGATCACAACATCTGGATTCTGGATCTGAAATCTTTGATTCTGAAAGCTTCAAGCCATTCTTACATGTTACAGGTGTGAATGGTCCCAGCCTCGCGCCCCGCGGCGGCTCCGTGACCCTCTCACATCAGCTCAACAACCAAAACATATATAAAAATGTAAAAACCAAACTGATTTCTTAGTTTTAGGTTTCTGTTGTTGAAAGCTGCGAATGTTGTTTTTGTTTAGCACTAGAATACAAACGATGATTAAGATCAGGTGGCACACATTATAAAGCTGCAGTATTAACTCACCTGTGCTTTAAAAACAAGTCAATTCCTGAAATGATCTTTAAAGTCTTTCTGGTCCATCATGGTGGCATCACTTACTCAGCTAACAACCCAGCAGACCTGCAGCAAGCATCAGCTCAGACAAACAAACAAACAAACAAACAAACAAACAAACAAACAAACAAACAGCTCAACCTGTTCTTGCTTGTTTGAAAAACTGTTCAAAGTTCTCATTTAATTCCTTCTTCAGTTGGCATGCCCCTCTGCACACACACACACACACACACACACACACACACACACACACACACACACACACACAGACACACACACACACACACACACACAGACACACAACAGACACACACACACACACACAGACACACACACACACACACACACACAGACACACACACACGACACACACACACACAGACAACACAACACACACACAGACAACACACACACACACACACACAGACACACACACACACACACACACACACACACACACAACACACACACACACGAACACACACACACAACACACACACACACACACACACACACACAGACACACACACACACACACACACACACAGAGAACACACACACACACAGAACACACACACACACAGAACACAACACACACACACACAGACGACACACACAACACACACACACACACACACAGACACACACACACACACACGACACACACACACACACACACAACACACACACACACACACACACACACACACAACACACACACACATCACACACACACAGCCACATCACACAACACACGAACCACCCACACAACACACACACAGACAACACACACACACACACAGACACACACACACACACACACCACACACACAGGACACACAACCACACACACACACACACACACACACACACAGCACACACACACACACACACACACAGAAACACACAGACACACACACAGAAACACACACACACAGAACACACACACACACACAGACACACACACACACAGAACCACACACACAGACACACACAGACACACACACACACAGACACAAACACACACACACACACACACAGCACCAAACACACAGCAACAACACACACACACACACAGAAAACACACAGACACACAGACACACACACACACACACACGACACACACACAACACACACAGCACACACACACACACAGCACACAACACACAGCCCACCAGACACAGACACACACACACACACACACACACACAACACACACACAGACACGACACACACACACACACACACACAGACACACACACACAGACCACACAGACAGCAACGACACACACACACACACACAGACACACAGACCACACACACCACACACACACACAGAACACACACGCACACGCACACACACACACAGACAACCACACACACAGCACACAGCACACAACACACACACAACACACAGAAACACACACACACACAGCCACCACACGACACACACGACACACACACACACACACAAACCAACAAACACACGACACACACAGCACAGACACACACGCACACACACACACAGACACACACACACACACAGCCAACACACACAACAGACAACACACACACAGACAGCAACAACAGACAACACACACACAGCACAACACACACACACAACACACACACTCACACACGCACAGACACACACACACCTGCAGCAGGATGACATTCCTATTTTTACTTCAACTTTACAAAGAAAACAAAGAGCATTAAAGAAGCTGCCAAAGCTGCAGTGTGGGTTTGATGCTGCATCACAGCATTTATTCTGTTTTTAAACATCTACTCAGAGAATCAGGAAGTAACAGCTCAAAATAGCTTCAACAAGCAAAAGGATAAAAATGCAAATAAAGGCAACCCAGAATTCTTTGGTCCACCTGCTGCTTGAACTGCTGAGCAAACAGAGTTCGTCTGAAAAAGACGTTTCCCGATTAGTTTGAGGAGGTGGATCTTTTTTAATCACGGTGGGGCTGACATGGCGGTTTGTTTGTGTTCTGTTAACATGTATGGATCCAGCTGTGAATCACGCACAGCTGCTTTTCCTCACAGCACCCCTGAACCTGTGCTTGTCATCCTCAGCTTCACTCGTATGAAAAGACGTTTGATTTCTGTGTGAATAAATCCAGTTTACAGTGTGAAATAAGACACTGAAGCAAAACCTCATTTCTAACACGTTTTAAACAAATGTGTCTTTAAGCCAACAGACCTGGAGCCAAACAGCAGCGGAGGAAACGGCTCACCCACACAGCAGGAAACAGCAGTCCCATCAGCTTCTCTGTACTGGCCAACACACGCACGCACGCACGCGCGCGCACACACACACACACACACACACACACTGTGACGGTGCAGGTATCTGATCTCTGTGACGGTTGGTGAGACGTTTTGAAGTCCTGGCAGCAGTCACTAAGCGGCGCGCACATCCAGTGAAGCATGACCGAGGCGTGTCTGTCCTACACATGCTCAGCAACCCTCCAAACTACAGCTGGCTTCATGCTGCCTCCATCCAGCCATTATTTTACAAACAAATGATCACATCAACATTGTTACTGATGAAAACAAACAAATATGAACTGTTATGAGGGCCGAGTTAGTCCTTTCACCTCTGCCTGTACGGACTGAAGCCTGGCGCTCTGAGGGCGCCTCACTGCCTGTCAGAGAAGACCATCTCTGAGCTCTCACCAACACACACACACACACACACACACGAGCAGACTTGGAGCAACAACAGTAAAAGGTAAAGACAAACACAAAGGCAGCTGTGCGCTGACAGGCTTGGCGCCCGCCCTAACAGACTCCTTCCTTCTTCTACAGGAAATCAGGTGTCAGTATAAAAGACAACAGGATGTGAGGTCAGCAGAGGGCGGCTCTCCCCAGCAGCTGTAAACCACAGCGTCTCCTGCTGCGGCGGGCCTCTCGCCGCCGAGGCCTCGCTCTATTCCTGTTGTCCTACATCAACATCTTCCTTCTTTTTACTTTTCAAAAATAATTTGAGGACAAGTTTCAAGAGTAGAGAAAAACGAGTCGGTTTAAATGTTCCAAATATTTTCTGATGAAGGCGAGAGGAGGCTGAAGAATTCACATTCATGATGTGTGACGGGGGGAGGGGCTTATAGAGGGGTGGTTCATGGGACAAAAACAGGGGTCACTGCTGGTCCTCAGGTCCTTCTTCTGCGAGCAGGTAGTAGACTGTTGCAGTGTGGGACGGTGACGCCTGCTGTCCAGGTGGAGCATCGCCTCCTGTTACCTTTTCTCCTTCCACAGCTGACGGAAGTGATGGAGCTGATATATGCTGGTGGATAACCTACGGAGATCGGAGACACATAGCACCGACACGTTAGACTGCTGGACAGGACAGAGTGACCTGCGGGCAGGAACCCACACTCACACGGAGCAGAAGCATACCTGCCGAAGCCGTTCATCAAGGCCACGATCTCCTGACGAGTAAGCTGGAAGCCTTTGGATGGGCTGTGTTCAGGAAGGTTCTTGATCTCCTTCTCAGAGAAGAGGATCTTCAGAGCAGTACCGAGACCCTGAGTCTGCACACAACACAAACTCTATAACACTTCAGTTTGAGGACCAAGCCTACAAATCACAGACACATGACGGGGAGCATGCAGTCTGATGCACGGTTTGGGGGCAGATTGGCCTCCAAATCACCACGGTGCATTTAAACCCAAAAAGCTTTATTTTAAACAGTTTTATTGCAATAACTCTGAATTACAGACGTTTCTACACAAGCCCAGTTCCAAAGATGCTGGGATGCTGTTACATTCAAATAAAGCATCTCATAAACCTGTGTTTGATTTACAGAACGAGATGTTTTTAGACTGTTTCCTGAACAACACAGAGGCTGCAGGAACACTGTACGGGTAAACTGACAGTAACATCACAGGCAGGAAAGAGTAGAGCACACACAGAGCTGCAGCGTGCACACAGCGTTATGTTGGATTTGTCTAAAGTTGACATTTGTTCACGCACTGGGACAACACTGATTTTACAGACTAACGACAGCAGGCTAACCGTGACTCGAGCCCTAACAATGATGTGTTGCTGTGGAAACTGAAGACGTGTTAAGGACACCGTGGTGCGGTCATATATGATGCTACACAGTTACTATTGTGGAACTGTGATTGCACTCAGTGCCACGTAGCCTTTTACACCTGAGCTCTAACACGGCGAGTGCGAAGGCTTCTATGGTGGCTCCACATCAGGGGACCTGACCTCCACCTGCAGATCTGAGACTGTGCTGGCTTTAAAATGCACAAACTAGGATGAACACACGCAAAGACGCACCTGCAGTTTCCCCCAGAGGCGACATTTACTGCAGCCCACACAGTCCATGATCCTGGAGATGTTCTTGAAATGGAGACGAAACTCCTCCTGCAACAAGAACAGGACGCTGTTTCAGACTGTTTAGAACTACAATCAGGAGCAGAGGTGCGGACTATGACTGCGCTGCTGCTCATGCTGTGCAGAAAGTGACTGAACCCAGGGCAGCAGCAAGCATCATGACACAGTCCTCTTTATACTGCTGACTAACACAGGACCAGACACCTCGACAAACATCACAGAGGACGATGCTCTGTCACAACTACAGGACAAACAGAGTGGATGGTACACAGACACA